TGTGTGTGTGTGTGTGTGTGTGTGTGTGTGTGTGTGTGTGTGTGTGTGTGTGTGTGGAGATGCGTGTGTGTGGTTGCATGTATGTTCTCCTACGTAGGGAGAATAAACAGATGGAGGCGCGAGGGTCATCGGCCCCGAATGGGGTGAGGGAATGGATGGGAATTATGCAGTTCCCAGTTGCGACTCAGGCATCGTTGCACGATCTGCTTGCAAGACTTCGAAAAGATGTAAGTGCAACAATGGTTCGTAAACGATGATGTGAGGAAGTATCTGACCATATGATTTTGAAAACTCGATATTACAATGTAACTTAGAGGATTACATCTCGCAGTGTTAACTGCATCGCAGAAGCACGGCCATGGCTTGCATCAGACCTTCTCCCTCAACTGCTCAGTCTGAATGATTTGGTGCTTGTCAGGATGGGGGTTTTCCAGAGAAAAGGAATCAGGAGCTGGTTAAGCATTTGCTCCCTCGGAGGATGAAAGGGGCGCAAAAAAAAGACAACGAAATTGAAAACGAAGGAAAAAGAGGCGCACCTGCTAATGCTGTCCATCATCATCCCGATGTTTGTTAGTATTAAGTACTATTAACTGTAAAGTAGACACCACCATAATTTTTTAGGGCATACTCACAACAGGCGCTGAAAATCGCAAAATCCCAAAATGGGCGGCCAGATCTAGGCCTTCCTTTACAGGGACTGGATGTCGCCGCTCATTTTGTGATTTTGCGAGTTTGAGGGCCTGGTGTGAGTATGCTCTTAGACAGGGTTGGATTTGCACATTACTGAATTGAATTATGTCATGATTTGTTTTATTAATTCATTAAATTATTAGCATTTATTTAGTATTTACTATTCTTGAATTATAAGTATTTTAAACTATTTTTAGTATTGAATTATTTATCAATAACTATTTATCAGTACTGATTCGGTGCTTACTTCTTATATTATTATTAATTTATTTCTATTATAATAATTATAGGAGTGTTATCAACTTATTATTGTTATTATGAATATTATTTATTTTAACGAATGTGGAGACCCTCGTTCAACGTACCCAAAGTGATGCTGCTTCATGTGATTGGATCCCCATCCTCCCATCATTTCCACTTCTCACGTCTATGTGCATTTGAGTACCCACAGTTCTAGATTCGATGCCATCATTCGGGAACTGAATCTAGATTTGAGCCTCCCCATCCTCTTCAAGGCATTACACACACTACAATCTTTTCGCTGGTTGGTGAACTGCATCTAGATTGTTGTGTGCATAATGCCCTAGAATTCTAGGGTGAGTATGTCCTGAACATGTTTTGGGCGAGGCTCGTTTTGTTTGTTATTCATTCAGTTTTTAATTGTTCTCCTGGAGTACGTAGGCCCTCTAACTTGGATCTTTTCGGTCAGCCATTTGTGGTTGGGTATAGCCATTTTAGGGCCAGCCCCTACAAGTGCTATCCTTCCCAAGCATAAACATAGCAGCAGTGGGGCCTCGCCCTTACATGTGGTCGACAGGTGATCGATCATTCTTAGTTCGGGAATATTTCACATGCCCTTGCAATGTATGAGGAGACCTCAACAAGGCACCCATCTCCCATCTAGAATGAACAGAACTGAAGTGAACTGTTACACTCCCTCCCCCCCCTCTCTCTCCCCCCCCCTGTCCAAATGCTCGGTGAGTTTGGTGCTCTGTTGCGGTTAAGAGAATTATCATAGTCGCAAAGATATAGCAAAATGCCATGGTAAATTTCGTCTAGGGGTATAAGGAGATCGTTTTTTCGTCTAGGGGTATAAGAAGACAGATGTTCGAACTTCAAATCCTGTAAGGGATGAACGGCGCCCCTCTCAATCCATCGAAACTGTGGACAATTTTTGCTCAGCATGTTGTTGGTCAGGAACCGTACAAATTCATTTTTGCTGCTAATGTTGCCACGGTGCGTGCAGCCAGATTGCAAAAGACGAAGTCGGCCCGTTCCATGCGCATCAACGAAGATCTTGTCAGCAGTGGGCTGTCCACTTCTGTAATGTATATACCATACAAGTAGTTGTTGTTATAAAGTTATAAACTAAAAACATGACGAGATCAATCAAACGCTCCCGTGAACCTGCGGGCAGATGAGACGACCGGCGTGTGGTGAGCGCGCGACTACCAGTGGGGGTCACGTACTACTTGGACCAAAGTGTGCAAGAACTGCCAGCACCTGTGTGGTGTTGTGTGTGGTGTGCGTTGAGTTTGGAGTCTTTGGACACTACAGCCTTGCAGGGGTGGGGTGGATATCATGACCAGTATGGTTCCAAACCGTGTCCTGGCTGTAGTGGTTATAAGAGACTTGGCTGTTGAATTCGTGCTTGCACGGAGGAGGTGGAGGTCTTAGGCCCAGAGGTACGGATCTGTAACTGCTGCTCCATGTGCATCTAGGCCAGATATCAGAAACACAAACAAACAGGGCAAGAAAGAAAAAAAATGAAACGAAAAAGAAAGTTAAGAGAAGAGGAGAGGAGAGGAGAGGAGAGAAGGAGAGAGAGGAGAAGAAAAGAGAGAAGAGGGGAGCGGAGGAGAGGAGAGGAGAGGAGAGGAGAAGAGATGAGAAGAGAAGACACTGAAATCCGAGTCAAAAGAAAAGTATAAAAATGACGAAAAAGCCTTTTGTGCAAGGTTCACTTTGGCGGTCCTTTACATAATCGTCAGGGTTTTCAGTGATTTTGTGCATGACAAACCTTTCAAAATCCACCCTTTCGATTGTTCCATGCCTACGCACACGCCTGCAAGGAACATGAGCAATAGCGAAATGACAGAATCCAAATCGCAATATCATATTGAAAGCCAGATAGTCATAAGCTGTCCAGAAAGCAGAAATGCACTGATATCACACCAATTAGAACCAAAGCAACGAACTCAAATGTCAATGAAAACTTTCTCTCGCCACGACCAACAATGTACTTGAAGCTTTTTCTCCTATCCGCGCTCAACGCCCAGACTGCGATCATACAGCTACTAAGCTAGCCTACTAAAATGACAAAGCAAACCCATTGACGTCAGCACTAGCAACCAAAGTACATGCAGATGTCGACCATGCAGACCTCCGCCAGGACCAGGTACGTGCTCTCACATCTCTCCCATCACTCGCCCTCTCAATGCCCACCCTCGTCTTCACCCACAACTTCTCCTCCGCTTCTGAAGACCACCACCACCTTACACTGGCTTCTCCTTCCCTGGATACTAGCGCTGCCTCCAGCAGCGCCCACCTTCCCTCCGGCGCCCGTGTGTGACCTCCAGCCCCTGGCCTACCAGCGGCCTCCAGCGCTCAAACCAGCAGCGCCGCCGCCAGCAAGCACACGGCCAGAATGCCTCACCACGAGGCACGTACTTTCCTTTATGGAAAGTGCTGGCAGCTTCTGTCTGCCTGGGCCTGCTCGTGGGAGTTTCCAGTAGCTTCCAGTCGGACCAAAGTGTCTGCGCCGGGGCCCATTCAGACAGTGGCCTGGGCCCGCAGCAGTTAGGTGCGCCCAACCACCTCACGCACAATGACTGCTTTCTGATAGGCCGAGAGGCCAGTACCAATGCAAGAATAGAAGAGCCAGGAAGTCTCGTGGAAGATTCTGATGCTCATGAGCAGTGCATATGTAACCAACTGGCAGGTGGCAACTGTCTGGCGCCCAACAGGGCTGGCAAATTTTTCAATATTCAGGCCTGTTTGAAATAAAGGGCCCGCCTTCACTTACAGTGGGCACGATGCTTGCAAAGGGGGCCCCATACGGGCATTCCAATGACTTGTATCCGCGCACCACTAAAACCCTCGTAAAAAAAGAAAAGGGAGAAATTGCATCTCCAGATGTGGTGTACCAAATTTACAGATGGGAATTACGGATGTACACGGTAAACCGCCCATCTGGTGTGTATGCCTACAAATGGCCTGTGGAAATTGTTTGCTTGTTTGCTTGCTTGCCCAGTCGGCTGTTGGCACCATCAAATTGCAGTTATACCCAACTACCGGTCTGGCCAAATTGTGGATATACCTGGGGCTGATTACGGACCGAGAGGGGATTTTCAAGTTATAGGTCTACCCAGTACCAGCTAGCAGAACTTACTCTCATACCCAGCGGCAGTTCATCAACAATGGTCCTCTCTTTCACTCTCTCGTTCACTCTCTCTCATTCACTTGCAAGAGAGAGAGAGAGAGAGAGAGAGAGAGAGAGAGAGAGAGAGAGAGAGAGAGAGAGAGAGAGAGAGAGAGAGAGAGAGAGAGAGAGTTGGTGTTGCAGTGTTGATGAGGTTGTCACCCTTGTGGAATTATAGAGAAATTCGTGACTTGCTACTGTAAGGATAATTGGTCAACTGCTGTAAATTGTTTTGCGTTGTGCAGAATAGGGACTCGTTGACGATCTTGGTGTTAGGGAAATGTGGTGTAGGGAAGAGCTCTACAGTGAACTCAATTTTTGGTGAGAGGGTTTGCGTCGTTAGTGCTTTCCAGGTAATTTCAAAAGATTTCAACCTTGTGTTTTGTTTCCGTCGTGTATGGGATCATCCCCCTTTTAAAGAGAGGCAACCTATAAAAAATGGCTGTACAGGGCAAGATTTGAACCATTGATCTGCTCTGATCAACCGTCGTAACATGTGTGCAGTGGTCGAGACGGTTCAGCGGAATTCTTCAGTAGTACAGCTGTTTCAAAGGAATTCTAAGGTTACTGTAAATCCTCTTCAAATGCATCCTTTTGACTGCACGTACGGGACACGATTTGAACTCTTGATCTGCGATGATTGACAGTTGCATGTGTGCAGTTGTCCAGCTGGTGCGAAGGAATCGAGCAGTAGTCCAGCTGGTTCCAAGGAAATCTGCAGTAGTCCAGCTGGTTCAAAGGAAGTCTAGGGTAGCTGTAAATTGTTTCCAAATGCATCCTCTTAACTGCACTCAGACACATCATGTCACCGAAGGCGTATTCACAATGTTATGTAACATATCTGGGATGAATTTGACCACAAGCACGCCCAGATTCTGTCTGGTATGTGCTTGTGCGAGTACACCCCGACCCTTGCTGTCTGCAATCCTGAGTCATCATTGGTGTGCAACAAGGTGTGCCGCTATTGACTTTCAGCCACACTCTGGATAGTCCCATAAGTTTGTCGAATCAAGTGTGAAATGTGAAATCGTCGACGATGATTTGTGAAAAAGAAGCTTCCTGGCGTAAACACCCCACTAGGAGTCTGTGACCAGTAGGAATGCTAAACAGGGGAGGGAAAAAACGGGGACGGAGGCGGCCAAATGTGGTCTCGCAGCACGGGCTGGGGACCGACACGATTGTGGGCCTAACCGGTTGCACCACAGCGATTCAAACTTGGAACCGTGTGCTAGTCAAGAGGTCGCCAAGGCTCTGTTGCATCCGACATCCTGTTAAAGCCACATGCTCTTCGAGCCCAGGTCTAAGTTGACCTTTTGATTTGAAGTTTGTTGGTTGTTTGCACATTGTTTTGCATCACCCGTGTGTCAATATGGTTTGTTGATGCTCTCTCTCTCTCTCTCTCTCTCTCTCTCTCTCTCTCTCTCTCTCTCTCTCTCTCTCTCTCTCCCCCCTTCTCATTCTCTCACACACACACCCCAAAGAAAGCCATCTCTCTCTCTCTCTCTCTCTCTCTCTCTCTCTCTCTCTCTCTCTCTCTCTCTCTCTCTCTCTCTCTCTCTCCCCCCCTCTCTCTCCCTCTCTCTCTCCCTCTCTCTCTCTCCCCTTCTCATTCTCTCACACACCCCCCCCAAAGAAAGCCAAAGTAAACATAGTTGACAAAGGGATTTCAATGGACTTACTGTGCTCCATGTTACTTGCTATAGAGATAAAACTTTTTCATTGGCGGAATGTCCCAACTCAAGTGTGCTTCGTTGTCCGCAATAGGACTAAAGCTGCTTCGATTTTGTTTCTACTCATCTGGGTGGATTAGGGGCTGTTGTGGTGAAAATTCAAACTCCCGCCCCCCGCCCCCAAATGGTCAATTGATTGATTGTATGTGGAGACATAGAACAACACCCACAGAAAAGAGAAGCAGTCCGTTCGTCTGTCTGTCAATCTCTGCGAGTCCATCCATCTGTCGGTCTGTTGGTACATCTGTGCATTGGTCTATCCGCCCACAGGATTGTCCGTCCATCCATCCCTCACATCCCTTCTGTCCCGTCCATTTCTCCATCCACTTGTCCGTCTCTTGAGGGTCTGTCCGTCCGTTGGTCTCTTCTTGTCTGTCATTTCGTTATTGAGATCTTGTTTCAATCTTTTGATTTCCTGCCATTCCGGAGACGTGATGTACCATCTTCCCCCGAACATAACGCACCCTGGAAATGAACATATACAAGGTATGTTTCGGGTCCGATAAGTCAGAACGAGGGTGCGTTGTGCTCGGGGGAAGAAGGTAGTCAGAGATGTCACAAAGCCCCTGGAATGGTGGATGGCTCTGTGCTTGTAGGCAACACCTGAAGCTGGATTCCATCTACATGGACAGGTTGGACGCATACGTACAGTGCCGCACACGTAATCATTGCCACGGACACGTGATCTCCATGATACACAAACCCCCTCCTCACACACATGTACACACATACGCTACAAGTACACAAAGGGGCTAAGATCATGTTCATTTTCTCTCTGTTGTGGTATGTTTTGTTTTGATTCTTCCATGTTTACGGTATTTTCTGCCTATTTCCTGCGAAGTTCTGCTGAAGCTTTCCATTTATTTCTATTTTTTTTGCTTACAGCACCCCGTTCCCCAAAAAAATGGATGCATTTCTCGATTTATGCGTTTCATCCTTGCACAGGGTCCATGCTGAAGCATGCCAGTTATTTAGTGATAACATTCATTCTTCGTCGTTGCTTGGTCTTTACAATGCTCTATGTGTGCTTTCCTTGGAGATCTTGAACAGTCGGAGACAATTAGACCAACAATCGCCTCGAGAACGCGGGCCGGATTTACACTCAACATTATTGATACGCCAGGACTTGTGGAAGCAGGTTGTGTGAGCGACGAAGCCTTTGATGCCATCCGGAAATTCCTTCTCGACAGACCTGTGGACGCCGTGCTCTACGTTGACCGGCTGGACAGTTATCGTGTTGATTCGTTAGACCATCAGGTATGAACAACCCTGCTCCTCAAGATAACGTTACTGATTGTCGTTGGTACAGCAGCTTATATTGTGTTGTGTTGTGTTGTCCAAGTTACTCTTTCAGTTCTTCAAAGAGATGTCATGATATGAGTGATCTCTAGCTTGGCCCTAACATGTTGTGTTCCTCTGGAGAGCAGCAGCATCTATAGATTCTATAGCTCATTTCATTTTTTCTTCAAACTTCAGAAGCCGGTCTTACGTTTCTCACAGATGAAGATGCGCAACTACTGCAATGCCCACTGCATTTCTTTGCAGTCCCAGAAGGACCATTACCAGTACTTCCGGGACTTCGAGTGCAGTCATTTATGCTGACCTCGCTTACTCCGTCCAGTGGATGCCGAAGTGAGCGAGACACAAGCATATGATAGTCCTTGTGAGGGAGGGATCAGCTGAGTATGTGTATCTTGCTCTTCATTTTTGTCTGTTATGTGCCGCCTGGCATTAGTTTTGGTGCCCATGTCGAACTCAGCGTCAGTGCATGTCAGTGCTGCTGGAGTACAAGAAATAAATGGCCTGCTGCTTCTATCATCTTTGAACTTAGTATGCATCTAGCTATGTATTCATCCAGTGCCAAGGGATGACCCCTGTTTTGTTATTGTGTATAGCTGAGCTGCAGAACTGCCTAGCAGCGGGACAAGGCCCACTCGTTGGCACGCATTGAGAATGTGCACACTGGGCTTTGCAGCGCTGATCCTCTGCCCCTCCTTGTCGTGGACGGCTTGTTCGGCGGCGTGCATGCTGTGATCGGCATCCCGTCAAACATTGTCGATGCCTGAATTCCCTTCCCTTCCTTTTGCGCACTGTCTGTTTCAGCACGGATATCCTGTCCCACATCTTCCATATCTCTGCATGGATGGACCAACCCTCTCATACAGTGTGGATGCCATCTTGGCCTCTTCTGGTTGTGATCATCCTGCCGTACGTACATTCTCCTTGTTGTTTTTCTTCTGGATATCCTCCTTCCTGCCTAATTCCTCGTAACTCGCAAATTCTGGATCAACATCTTGGGATTTGAACTTTGGACTGACACTTTGACATTCCTGGCCTGCGGAATGATTCTTTGGACATCCTTGGGATTTGCACATCCTTGGTTGTTTGAATGTTCTTGGGATTTGGTTTGGAATAGCATGCTATTCCTTCGGGACATCCGTTAAAACTTAGGAACGGAACAGAGAAGATTAGCATGGTCCCCCTGCGCAATCGGATAACACTCGTAAATTGAGAAGTGGTGTAAATTTTAGAAAAGAGAAAAAAAAAAGATATGGAATACTACTTTGGACTTTCGGTCCTGCATATGGATATATCTTCTTGGAGGTTTGTGAGATTTGAGTTTTGAACTGATACTTTGACATTCTTCGACGTCAAAGAATGAATGATACTTTGGACTTCAGACATCCTTGGGATTTGCAATTTTGATTTTTTGATTTTTTTATTTTTTCGATTTTTTGATTTTTTGATTTTTTGATTTTTTGATTTTTTGATTTTTTGATTTTAGTGGAAGTCTGCACTTTTATTAACACAAGTAAAACCTGGAGGCCGGGGATTCCTCCTCGACACAACCCGGAATACTGGGGCCGTTTCCCAGCGTCGGCTACTGGAAACCGGGTCCAGCGTCCCTAGAGTAAATGCAAGCTTCAAAAGTAGGGGCCGGGGGGGGGGAGAACAAATGGACTAACAAAAATCCCAAAAGTCTCAAACTCACAGCAGAAAGGAGCTGCCCTCTACCTTTCTGCCCTGGCTGCTAAAACCCTAAACCCTCAGAGGGCCAGGTGCAGCCGACCTCTGCCTTCTCCGGGGTACGTGCACCTGCAATGCTACTTTGGACATCCTTGGGATTTGGATTGATACTTCGCATCCTCAGTAGTTAGGACGTGGGATGACACTTTGATGATTTGGAATGCCTTTTGGATATCCATAGACTTTGGAATAATGCTCCCAGCTCCCTCTTTGCAGCTCCCTGCTTAAACTTGTTTTTCTTGTTAATCATTGATTATTCCTAATACTTCATTCATCCTCTCTCTCTCTCTCTCTCTCTCTCTCTCTCTCTCTCTCTCTCTCTCTCTCTCTCTCTTGTGCGCGCGTGCTCTCTGTGTGTGTGTGTGTGTGTGTGTGTGTGTGTGTGTGTGTGTGTGTGTTGGTGTGCTGGTCTGTGGGTGGGTGGATGGGTGGGGAAGCAGGTCATGACAACATTGACCCGGATATTTGGGCCATTACTTTGGAAAATCGCATTGCTGGTGCTCACACGGGGCCAAATTGTTCCTCCAGATGGTACAAACTACTCTGAGTTCGTCTCAAGACGAACTGAGGCCTTGAGGGAAGCAATTCACCAGGCAGCCAAGTTTAAGAAGAGCGATCCTCAGGTGTGTGTTGGCTTGAAATTGATCCTCAGGTGTGTGTTGGCTTGAAATTGATGCTCCCCTGTAGCAGAGGGGAGGCTCTGTTCCACATACTTTTGATGCTTGTTCCCCTGACCTTCTCCTGTGTTCTCGTATCTGTCCCCTCAGTTTTCTTTTGACATGATAGTGGTCAATGAAGCTGGATGGACATCTGAGCATAGCCTGGATCCCTCAATTGAGAGAAGTCACTGGTCACTTGCAATATCGACTGTACCCTCAATGTAGTTCCCCCAGACAACCTGTTGGGTCCAAACTGTTTGTCGGAGTTGTTCGGAGGTCCCGTAGCCTCCAGATGATCTGTCCAGCGAAACCGGAAAGGTTAGAAAAATGTCCTTCGCAAACTGTTGGTCTCGGCCTCGAGATGTATGGAGACGTTGTTTCAGTCTGGGATGAGTATGTGTAGTTTGCACTTCTCAAATCGATCCCAAATCCAAGTGTGTTTTCTCTTAAAAAAGTGTGGCAGGGGTTGCTGCTTAATCTGCACATTGTCTGCCTTTGAACAGACACAGCTATCAAAGTGGCACATTGCGTCGGGTCAAGGTCATCTCCTTGCTTCTTCTTCTTCTTCTTCTTCTTCTTCTTCTTCTTCTTCTTCTTCGTCGTCGTCGTCGTCATCGTCTTCTTTTTCCTTTTTCTTATCCTTCGTCGTCGTCGTCGTCGTCCTCTTCTTCTTCTTCTTCTTCTTCTTCTTCTTCTTCTTCTTCTTCTTCTTCTCCTTCGTCGTCGTCGTCATCGTCCTCTTCTTCTTCTTCTTCTTCTTCTTCTTCTTCTTCTTCTTCTTCTTCTTCTTCTTCTTCTTCTTCTTCTTCTTCTTCTTCTTGGACCATTTTGCGGTTTATGTGTGTCATCCTTGTGCAGGGGCCATGGTAATCTTCTCTGTATCATTGCGATTTTAACGGATGTCCTGAACAACATAGGTTTACCTTCCTTATAATGCCAAAGCAATGTTTCTGATTTTTATGCATTGATGCATGGAACCAATTTTTCTCATTTCTGTGCATTGATTTATAGATCAATCTTTATCTGCTGAAATACGGAAAAACAAGGATTTGCTAGGAAAAAAAGAGAGGTAGTCTCGAGTAGTAGGTAAGGTGGAAATAGGAGGAAGGGTGGGAACAGGTAAATAAAAAAGGCGGAAATAGGAGGAAGGAGTGGGGAACAGGCAAATAGGGAGTACCACAGGTTGATGCATGATCGTTCCCAGAACCACGTGGCTGTCTACTTGCTTTGTATCCACCAGTAGGTCAAGTCCTCAAAGGACATCTGGAAGGTGTTTTCCGTACCATCTTCATTGTTTTCCATACCATCTTTGGTGTTTTCCGTACCATCTTCGGTGTTTTCCTCACCATCATCGGTGTTTTCCATACACATACGTGAGCTGCTATTGTAGGAATGGTATTGACAGATGTGATGCAAATGATGTGTTGGAAGTGCTGCTGCATAAGCGATAAGCCATGCAGCGTCTGCATTGGAGCTTGACTGGTTTAGTCCCTCTGTAGCTATCCCATGCAACTTCTGCATTGGACAGCCGCCTTCGGTCATTGCATGTGAGGGACCACCGATGGCCTGCTTCATGGCCCTTCGTTCTCGGACAAGGCTGCGGTTGTGTGATCAGAGCCATTGTCGGAGTGCCGTGGCACTCTGTCTGTCGTTTTGTGTTTTGGATTTTGCAGCTAATGCCCGCATTCTCCAGCGGTGTGTACTCAGTCTGCTTAGGGCTCAGGATTGAGGGCTTAGGGTTTAGGATTGTCGGCTTAGGGTTTAGGATGAGGGCTTAGGGCTTAGAAAAACTCTTTAGAGTGTTTGGATCCTGCGATGGCAGGGACTGCATATGTAGGAGCGTGGCCTGGGCAGGACGCGTGTCTTGGGTCTTGTAAGTGAGTAGTCTTTTCATTGGAATTTGGTTTATTGCTGGATAGTTTTTTTTTATTGAAATAAGAAGATCAAATAACTTCCGTTCCTTGCTCCTGACCTGATTTGTTGGTTATTGACTCTGTGTGATGCATGACTGTACTTCTGTGCTTGTGTGTGTCTTCTTTTTCCATGCAGATTCCCACTGTCGTGGTGGAGAACAGCGGGCGATGCGCCACAAATGATGATGGGGAGAAGGTATGTAGTTAACTTAGTTCAAGTAACTCCTGAAGTTCTACTAGATGGGGAGAAGGTATGTAGTTAACTAGATGACCTGGAGGCTAGACGCATTTTCATTTAAAAGGTTTGAGTTCCGTGAAATCTACTGAGGTAGAGCGTGTGGTCTTCATTGCAAGAGGTAGAGAGCATTCGATGGGCTAGGGTGAGCCCAAAGCTTGACCAACCCCCCCCCAAGGAAACTCTTGACTATTTGCATTGCAACCGAGCATCGCGCAGACCTAAATGATGTCGCTTTAAATCTTTCAAGTAATACACCACTTTCTCGCACTTTGTGGCCTCTGGTGACCCCACCACCGCGAAGCGTTCGTCTTTCTTCCCAGCCAACCCAGCGTGGGGGGGTGTCAGCCTCATTCTTTTCTTGGCCAGGCAGCGAAGCTGCTGACGAGCGGAAAAAGGTATTTCAATTTTCAACCCCCTCAATCTACTTCGCCGTGTTTTTCTGCAACACATCCATCCATCAAATGACGAGTACGACCAAGAGCGGCCGGCCACCTTCCTTGGTAACCCTACTCTAGAGATTAGAGACTAAGTGCCTGCCTCCCCAAAAGCTTCTCTGCTGGGAGGACTAATTGCATGTTTGACCCTGAGTCTTCTCACTGCTGCCAGGAGCTAACCCTGCATCATCGTCGGAGTGTGAATGCTCTCTGTTCTGCCAATGCCATGCTTAACGGCATCGTGACACAAGCACCGACTCCTTGAGTGCTGCCAACCCTCCCCCTGATATCTGACCTGTTAAAAAAAAATGAGAGAGTTATCTCCGGTTATTGTTCCGCAGATCGTTAACGCAGCAGGTCATTAACTGGGCATTTTAACATGCCAGGCTGCCATGGAATAACGTCCAGCATCGGCCACGGTGCGTGCATTCAGGGGGAGGCACATGGAATAACGTCCAGCATCGGCCCCTTAATAGGGCCCTTATGTGAGACCTAGCTCGCGATATATTAGCGTCATACTGTACTACTAAAGTAGACAATAGTTTGGCCGTTCTCGTCTGCGTACTGGCCTGTGTGCGATGGAGCTTCAGTTTGGCTGCACACAGGCCTGATGTCTGAGAACGTGGCCCCTTAATAGGGCCGTTTTCGGCTGCACACATGCCTGTGTACATAGCTTCAGTTGTTACGGTAGTTGCATACTTCTTTTGTAGTGCGAACGGTGTTGGTTCAAAAAATAACCTAGGAAAAAAATGATATCAATGGATCTAGGAGGCCTCCGGGACATCCATTACAACTGGAACAACACACAGAAGAGAAGATCAGCATGGCTCCTGCGCTTGCAAGGATGTCACACATTAATCGAGAAATGGTTCAAATGGCGAAAAAATCTTTGAAAAAAGAAGGAAAACAAGAATCTAATCTTTGGAAAGGAAGGAAAACACGGATCTCATCTTTGGAAAAAGAAGGAAAACAAGAATCTAATCTTAGAAAAAGGACGGAAAAAAAGAATCTATGTACTGCATACCGGATAAAGTGGGTGTTGGTTGCCTTTGTTTTGTCTGTTGCATGCTCACAGGTGTTGCCAGACAAGACAGTATGGATACCGAATCTCGTGAGAAATATTGTGGAGGTGGTGACTGGGGAAAAGGCATCAACGTACACCGTGGATGAACGAACGATCAAGGGGTCTCATGGCAGCTGGTGGCCCAAGTTGATGACAATACCATTGTTCCTGTTTCAGGTGCGATGATGCCCTTCTTCTTCTTCTTCTGTTTTTTTTTTTTTTTTTTTTTTTAAGGTTGTGCAGGCTGAGGTATATAGGCAGATGCCCTTCTGTGGACCATAAGGCTCTGTGATCCAATGAGCTGCACAGTTAGTTGCAGTCTGAGAAATATGCACTTTTCTGAGAGAATGCTCTGTTTTTTTTTTTTTTTTTGATTGATCATTGCTGATATTTCCAAATCTGAATCTGTTTTGCTGTGTTTGCTGAGCTTGCTTTGCTTTCATGGCCATGGCGCCCTCCAGAACCATGCGGTCCATAGCCATGAAGGCCACCTCCTTAGTCATGGCGTCCATAGCAATGAAGGCCGCCTCCACAGCCATGGTGTCCCTAGCCATGAAGCCTTCCTTCATGGCTGTTTCAAATCTGAGTCTGTTTTCCTGTGTTTGCTGAGCTTGCTTTGCTTCCATGGTGGTGGTCCTTCGCACCCCCAGGCGCCTTCAAAAACAATGATGAGGACGATGATGATTGTGATGATAAAATAGTGATGATGATGATGATGATGATGGCGATCTCTATATTACGCAGTCCTGCCTGAGTTGTGGTGAATGACGATGATGATGGTGATGATGATGATGATTCCTCCATTGCCCACCCCTCCTCCTCATTTAACCCCCTACCGTCCTCGTTTAAACCCCCACCGTCTTCATTTACCCCCTCCCCACCGTCCTCATTTAACCCCCCACTGTCGTCATTTAACCCCCCACCGTCGTCGTTTAACCCCCCACCGTCGTCATTTAACCCCCCACCCTCCTCATTTAACCCCCCACCCTCGTCATTTAACCCCCGACCCTTGTCATTTAACCCCCCACCCTCCTCATTTAACCCCCGACCTCAACCCTTCCCAACCAAGTATTTCTCACCACTTAGAAAACATGAAAGAAACTAGACTCGGGTGGAACTTGGAGGGCACTGAAATGCCCCACCAGCAGTGTTGCACCCCCCGACGGTCGGCGGCCCTTGACTGTCGGCTGCTGACCGGCCGACCAATCCGCTGGTCGGCACCTACCGGTCGGGGGTCGTTGGCACCCCGCCAAAAAAAAAAAAAAAAAAAAAGGGGGGGGGGGTCCAGAACCCCTAATAACACCACCACCACCCTCATAGTGGCCCCCGATAACCCCATACAGCCCCCCAACACCCCCAGACCGCCCCTGGCACCCTTATTACCCCCCCCAATAGCCCCTATACCCTCCTATACTCCAACCCCAACCCCCCCATACCCCACCTCCCATTCCCAAAAGTTTCTCAGCGGATTTGGGCTGTACTCAGCAAGTGCAGTACAGACCCCAACTCAGATTTGAAAAAAAATCAGTGGATGGTTGTTTTCTGACTGGTCAGCCGACTGCGGACCGGTCGGCCCTATTGTTTGGCTGCAATACGGACGGCGGTCGCGGTCGGCGGTCGGCAGGGATGCAACCCTGCCCACCAGCTTAAAAAAATGAAGGACTGGATTTTTTGCATGCCTGGGGTACGCTGGGCGGCTGGAGGGCCAGGTAAGGTGTTCGGCAGGATGCCCCTTGTAACCTACCATCTTCACCCGAAAAGAGTGCCTGGTCATTATAACCGTATTTGGGGCAACTTCCAGTCTAGAACAGCGATAATGACCGGGCGTTCGATTCTGGTGATGAGGGTAGTTTGGGAGGGCATCCCTTCTTTTTTTTTTTTTTTTTATAACAAGAACAGGGCCGTATGGTCCTGACATTCCTTTGGGAGAAAATGTGGGAATTTGAGAAAACTCAATAGTGATTCCGCACCCCCATGGTATGTAGTTAAACGTCCCAAGGCCCGGGCCGCCCCCCCCACCCCCACCCCCACCCCTGCCCCTGTGGTTCATCTGGGCATGATCCAGAAATGACTGATTACGATGATTACCACTGGAGCCAAATCTGTGGCCGTGATGATGACAAAATGGTTGGTGTCCGAACTTTTGAATTTTCTTATTCAAACTTTAATAAGATCCGAATATTGCGGTCCTTTGGGACATCCGTTAAAATTGGAACGACACAGAGAAGATTAGCATGGCCCCTGCGCAAGGATGACACACATAAATCGACAAATCGTCCAATTTTAAGATCCGAATATTGTGGAGGTACCAGAGACCTACAGAGACTAAGTCTATTTTCTCTGTGTTTCTCACTCTACCAGTTGTACGGCCTTGGCCCTTGGAAGATTCCCTCCTTTTTCTTTCGGGGAAAAAACAAACAAAGTTGAAGAAAATGTCTCTCTCTCTCTCTCTCTCTCTCTCTCTCTCTCTCTCTCTCTCTCTCTCTCTCTCTCTCTCTCTCTCTCTCTCTCT